TACACATTCAGGTGGGAGAATGAAGCCACTAAAGTTTTAAACTCATCTGCTCATCTTGTTTGCATGAAATTGGTAGTTTGGAAACAGTTTTCAGTGACTTGCTGTACTCAATCTCAGTTTGGCCTGATGGTACCTTGATGGCAACCAAGGAGGAAAAAATTATTGTAAAAAAAATAGTTAATTTACAGTTTGTCCTACTCTTATTAGCATCAGCTGTATTTAGTCCGCACCTCTTAGAAATAAATAGAATAGATCCGTCACTGTTACAAGAACAACAAAACACAGTATGGGATCTCTTCATTAGCTGCGTGTAGATTTTTACATTAAAAATCCTTTAAAATAAACAAACCAAAAAAAGTTATATATATATAAAATAAATAAAATATAAGAAGCAATGTCATCAGTGGTAGTACACATTGAGTAAGTGGTAGGAATGTTGCAAAACTGTAAACGCTGGCAGCAAAACGTGAACACAACTTCAACACAGCTGTCATCTTTACACACAGCAACTCACAATTGAAAACACGTTTCTAATGATGTGTTCAACCCCTTTGAACGAAACTGCAAGAGTTAAAGATCTACAATATCAGTATGTGCAAGTGCAACCTACACATACTTTCAGCAGCGACTCTTCGAGTACAATTCTATGCCCATAGATTGTTACAGATGGTACTCTTGCAATACTGTAGACTATATTGTAATGCACATATATCTGGAGTGCATATACTGTAAATACACTATTTCATAAGTCTTTTTCTGCATCACTTACAGTACACACTTATTTTTATAGAGCGTGTATTACATAGAAAATCTATGGATTACATAGAAAAGCCCCATGAATATATTTTCCATAGATGAAGTAGGGTTCAATCTGGCAAAAAGGAGGTGGAGAGGCAGGAACATAACTGGTCAATGTCCCTGGCCAACGTACTGGCAATTGTACCCTTTGTGCATTTTACACACCGGCCTGGGGGGGCTGGAGTGCAACACAAGAAAAATAATAAAAAGAAGTAAATAACACAGCCACAGTTTTACAATGACTAGTCGTTTTATTAACTTGACAGGTAGCGAGCGTCAGGGTGGGCATGGCCAAAACAACAAACAAAACACACTGGAAATGAATCAGAACTAACTTACGTATAGTGAATCAACCCCAAAAGAAAATACAAACCTCTAACCTGTCTCCCTACCCGAAACAGGAGAAAAAGGTTGTAAAAGGAACGGCTTCCCACCCCTACAGCTACCATCATCATCATCATCATCATCATCATCATCATCATCATCATCATCATCATCATCATCATCATCGTTTATTTGTATAGCACTTTAAGAACACACCAGGCAGACCAAAGTGCTGAACAACACAGATCAAAACAACAACCAAATTAAAAATACCATAAAATCATTACAAACAATAAAATAAATAAAAAGGTGTCAGTTTCCTACAGAGTTAAAAGCCAGGGAATAAAAATAGGTTTTCAATCTGGACTTAAAGACCTGCACTGATGACGCTTGTCTAATTTGGAGGGGAAGGTTATTCCAGAGCATCGGAGCCGCAATTGAAAAGGCACGGTCTCCTCTGCATTTCAGCCGCGACTTAGGGACCGACAGCAGCAGCTGCTCAGCTGAACGGAGCGAGCGAGGGGGAACATGTGGCTTCAGCAAGTCAGATAAGTACACAGGAGCCAGACCATTTAAAGATTTAAAAACCAATAAAAGGACCTTAAAACGAACCCTAAAATCAATGTCCAGATACGACTCTCTAAACTGTTTTTACTGCAGCCCAGCTCTGTCACACGCCAGGGCCCCAAACTCACTGGAAACAGGAAGTAGTAGGAGGGGCTGGCGGCCCAGTCAGGTCCCAATTTGTAGCTGGCCTCATTCCCTCTTCCACCAATGGTCAGCCTCCACCTGGAAACTTACATAACAGACATCACAGAGTACAAACAATGCCCCCCGCATGGTGTGGCAAGTAACAGCACCACACGGCAACAATGACCTGGGTCATAACATGCAGCTATAGGTAACTGGGATGGGGAGCATATTGCATTACAAGCATGTTGATTGTGATGTGGATGAGGTGCTCTGGCAGACTGAAACAGAAGAGAGGATGCAGCAAAGTTGTTGTTTTTTTTTTGTTTTTTTTACTGTAACTCTACGCAGTAGGTTCCTCTGTTGTATATGCAGACCACGGTATGCAGTGATGGGAGTACAAATAACGAGTACAAGTAAGTTACAAGTAATGCTGTTACTTTTTTCACTAACGGGTAATCTAACTAATTACTATTCCTATCGTTACAACGCCGTTACAGTTACTAACAAGAAAATGCGGTCCATTACTATTTTTCAACAAACAGACGGTTGAAGCTGTGTTCAACTTACCGCATCTTATATCGGTTGTACGGAAGTAGCTGACTACGTAAGTAATCTGGACTCTACAGCTTTAAGCAGCTGCGCACGCTCCCAAGGACGGTAATCATGATCACTGTCTAGCACAACACCTGGAGCTCAGGGGGCAAAACTGAGCTCCAGGTGTTGTGCTAGACAGTGCTGGCATGAGTGCTTCGGCTCAACATCAGTAGCATCAAAGAACTTATGCACACAGGGACTGTTCGGCACATCATATGGATCATATCTACCAAAGAGCAGCTCGCTTAACTGCCTGACAAAAGTGGGGACATCAGCACTTGGACTGCTAAGAGCCCTGAGAGAAGGGGAATGGCAGCTAGAAAGCTGAAAGGACTAATGACAAAAAATAAAAAATTAACACCCATAAAAATGTTTCTTTTAAACACTAGTTTGGGGTGTTATATTATGTTTATGTTATATTGTTCAAAAAGAAAAAAAAATGTTCTAATCTGTTTTCCTTTCCTTAAAAGAAAAAGGGGAGATGTTAAGATGTATCTGTCCCACTGCGCAAGTGTCCGGTGAAGGGGGGCATGGCTACACGCAGGTGGGAAGGGGAAGTAGGAGTTTTTGGAGTGTCAGTTTTTTCCTGTGTGGAGGAACGAAAGAAGGCAACCATTAAAGTTGGAGTTAACATACCAGTTGTGTGATTATTGGACTAACACGTTTACTGTCTAAGGACAGCGCAGCGAGCACTCTCTGCTTATGAGTAAAAAAAAACAAAACAGGGGAAGTTTTAGGAGTGATGAAGAGAGAGAGAGAGGGAGAGAGCAGAAAAAGGAGAGCAAGTTTTGCGATGTGAGAGATTTGTGACGTTTAGCGTGTTTGAGTGTGTAGTTAATGTGTTGTCTTGTGTAGTTAGTGTGTAGTGTTGTGGATAGTTTTGTGTTGTGTGTCAGAACAATGAGGCGACTGCTGTCTCCAGGTAGAAACAGGAGTGATACACCTGCTGTTGTCAGGCCTGCAGGTATCAGGCTGTGATGTTCTCCTTTATAGTGAACAGAAATAAATTTTTTGGAGTCGCGCAAATAATTTGTGGCATCTTATTGAATGCAGAACAGCTGATTGTTCTGTAAATAGTTTGAAATGGTTATTTAAAAAAATCAAGGTAAAAGGTAAATGGATGCAAATAACTTTATTGTTTGCAAAACTTGTGCATAGGATTTTAAAATTGACAATTTATATTTACATTTTAAGTTATGAAATATGATTCATTAAACATGTTTGTGGTTGTTACAGTAAAAAATATAACCTTTTCTACTCTGATTTTATGTTTTTTGTGTGATTTTAGATCAATTGCGTTAATACAGTATATCAAAATGAAAGCATGACTGTAAATTCAGACACGTGAGGTTGTGCTGAAAAGGATGATACCAAAAAAGGCAAAGTAAATAGTTTTTAAAGGTGAAATGTGGAGGGAGAATCAAAAGTAGTAAAAAATGGCCAATTATACCCTGGACCCCAGAGGGTTAAACGTTTTTTTTAAAGTAACGCAATAGTTACTTTTCAAGTAATTAATTACTTTTAGAATATTGTAACTCAGTTACTAACTCAGTTACTTTTTTGAAGAAGTAACTAGTAACTATAATTAATTACTTTCCAAAGTAACTTGGCCAACACTGATGGTACGCGCAACTTTGTTTTGGTTGGGATGAACACTGTACATTGTTTTTGTGGGAGAATACAGTAAAAATATATTTGGCACCATGTATTTGTGAGTTTTGTATACAAACATTCTGTAATCTTTTACAATGCACTCATGTAGGCCTATGTACTGTCTGTAGTAAGTGTTACACTGAACATAAAAAGGCTTACAGTAAGTCAATATGATGACTTTATTTTGCAGGTGAATTGAAGGGTTTTGCCCATTGTGTGTGTGTTTTTTGATTTGTGTGTTGAATTCTGACAATATGCTTTCGGAAAATGTCTGTAAACAATTAGGAAAAACTGTAATGCTCATGATTATGCAAAGGTGAAACCCAAGTGAACAATAAAATTATGCATGAAATTATAAGTCAGGCTCACGTAACCAGCATACTAACGAGTGGCCAATGCTAACATAGAAGATGTGGGTACAGGTGAGATATATGTAAATGACATATTCCAAGACATAGCAGGTCTGTTGCATTTGAAGCAGTTTACTCCTCACATGTGGAGTGATAAAATTCCTAATGACACATTTCCAGTTAAATGTCCTCCACCGCATGTTTTTAGTAGCCACACAAAAACCTACCAAACTCTTTCTCATCATACGTCCCTGGTGTGAACCCATCGTCCTTGGAAATCCCCCTTATTAATGTTTGAGCATCTTCCAATTTAAGTTGTTTAGCAAGAGAATATAGTGACACAGGGTCTAGTTTACTCCTGAGTGAGGTGTTCAGATTCTCCTCCCCCACTATAGTTGGAATTTTATCCATCCATCCATTCGCTTCCGCTTATCCTTTTCAGGGTCAGAGGGGGCGCTGGAGCCTATCCCAGCTGTCATAGGGCGAGAGGCGGGGTACTACCCTGGACAGGTCGCCAGTCTGTCGCGGGGCCAACACACAGAGGCTGACAACCATTCGCGCTCGCATTTACTCCCACATTCACACCTGTGGGCAATTTGGATTAATCAATTAACCTATCTAAGTATATTTAGGGCTTTGGAGCGTGATGTCACGGGGGTGGGCGTGGAAAGGATTTTGGCCTGATGCGCCATTTTCCGGGTCCAAAGCGCAAGTGAAAAAAGAGCGAAGGCATACACAACAGCCATGGTTCGTATTTGCTGTACTGGCTGCACAGTTCGATCGCACGACTGGCAAGAGAATAAGCTTGAAAATGGTTTATCTTTTCACTCTTTCCCAACCTGGAAGCAACATGAGGCAGCTCGTGTATCGATGTTGCCAAACGAAGCCATCTAGTCTGGATAGCAGCTGTGAGACGAGCTGATATCCAGTTCTCTTCTATCTCCAAATATCTGTTGGTGCTCCAGACATTTGCATTCCGGTAAGTTCTAACTATGTTCATATCACTCTTTATAGCCTATTAGTTTTATTTTCAATGCACTCTGAGGTCACAGCAAATTAGAACAAACATCCAACTGAGTGATTTTGCAGAACTACCTTCTATTTATAGAATTGCTAATTATTTGGCATTATTGCAGCAAACCAGCCTATGACAAGGATGACATCGTGACTGGGTTCCAGCGCTACACAAGGGACCTGCTTCAAACATACTACCATGCCAGTCAGATTACTTCTTCCATGTGAGGGTGAAGAGGTGACCCTTCTGGATAAGATGGTGAAGGTTTGCTGCGTTTTGGTGAACAGTGTGGTAGTAAAACCAGGGAAAATGAAACCTGCTCATGTTAAATATTCTTAAGTCTTTTGCTGTATAAATAGCGGTATTTTTTCAAAAGATACAGTAAATAAAGTGCTGGTAGTGGGTGACATCATGTAAACACTGTCATGATTTTGTGTAAACATTTTGTCATTTGTAAACTATAAATGACATGGATTCTACACTGTAACTGATGTGATGTTCTATAAAGTGGTTTTAATTAAAAAAGAGGCAAAATTAGTTTGTTTCTTTATTCAGCATTGTATCAATAGCAGTGACACTCCTCCACAGTAGCAGGTGGGATTTTTCTGTTTTGAGGACGGCTCCTTTTCCCTGTCACTACAGATGGTCTGTTTATGTTTTGATCAAGAGCCTTTTTTTGGGCAGCTGAAGAGGAGAAGTCTATCTTATGGCCAACCTCTGGCTGTATCTTGGTCATATTACCCAGCAAAACCCAGTATGCAGGTTCATCTGTAACAGTCCTTGTGCCACGGATCTGCACTGTTGCTTCTACATTAAACAGAAGAGCAGTGACATGGCTGCAGGTCTCCGCGACTCCGGCCATACAGGTGCAGTGGGCGGCTTCAACCTTCCCTGTGATGCTCACAGTGACCCATGGCTGCAATGCTGGTTCATTCAGTCTTTGAAGTTGTCATGTATTTAATATATATTCTTAATGCTTATTTGCTGGTTATATTGTTTTATGTATAGGCCTTTATAAACCAGGCCCAGAGGTGACAAAGAACTAGGTTGCAGGCTGACAGGAAACTGCATGCTTTTGCAGAGCATATGAGGTGCAGACAGAAAGTGAAACTAAGCAGAGTGTTTGATCGGAACTTAAAGTGTGCGTGACGTGTAGAGGAAGTATATAATAATCAGGCTGGCTGCTGCTGCTTTAGACTTGAGCTGGTGTCTCTGTGTGCTCAGTCTCCTTTTCCGGAAATATAAAATAAAGATCATTTTTTGAGTTAGACCACTTTGAGCCATGGCTCAATGCTGGTTCATTCAGTCTTTGAGAGTGCAGGACCTGAAACACACACAAAGTTCATTTAAAGACAAGAACTATGAGCCAAGGCCGACACAAATGTGTTTTATCTACTTTATCATAAATGTAACAAAGTGTTTAGAAAGTTAGCACATACATGTAATTTTTCATTTCTTTATGTGTCCATCTATAGAACGCTGCATGTTATATTCTAAATCTGCCTGTTCTCTGTCAGAAACCTGCCTGCAGAAAATGAACCTAAAGTATGTAATGCAAGGATGTCATCACTTTAGAGATGGAGAAAGCATAAAGTGACAATTATGGAGGGGGATGTGTGGCGGAGGCGTGGCCCCGGGCGCGGCTGCAGGGGAGGAGTGGAGCGGAAGGCTCAACAGGGCGGCGCTGCGAGGCCGGTAAGAACAGCTGATGTTGTTTATGGACTGATGATGGTCTCCCTCCGCTGTGTTTATAGTGAGACGAGGAGGAGCGGCCAGAGAGAGATCAGCTGGGCTCGTGAGCTGTCAGACTGTGTGACTGAGTCAGCTGTCAAAACAACAACACTTGAATAAATGTGGAAGTTGGCTGTACCTACCTGTGTGTGCGTGTCTGTGCCTGGTGTATTCACACATGTCAACCAACACATCGAATAATGGTGGAACGTTAGAGCACAAGTTTACTTCACTACCCTGTTGTGTTTGCGTGTTGTCTTGTGCCCTCGGCTTTGGGTTTATTTCATTAAGTTAGGTTGGCCACGAAACCGCTCAGGATAGTCTCTCCAGCTCACGTTCCTCTCTTTTCTTCGTGGTCGCTCCTTCAGTATCCACCTGCTGTCTCGCGCGGCGTGGGGGGAATGTCCGAGGTCCTTTTCGGCAGGACAGGCTTCCTGCCCGGCCTCACCCGCCACCCTCCTGCTTCTCTCGCGCCATAGGATTCCTATGGCGGCAGAGTTGCCCGGGGCGGGGGATCGCCGACGCGCACCTCGATCGACGCCCGGGAACCGGTTAATTCAATGACCTGCAGAATCTCCTTATCATATTAAGTGATTCATAATTGTCACTTTATGCTTTCTCCATCTCTACAGTGATGACATCCTTGCATTACATACTTTAGGTTCATTTTCTGCAGGCAGGTTTCTGACAGAACAGGCAGATTTAGACTATAACCTGCAGCGTTCTATAGATGGACACATAAAGAAATGAAAAATGACATGTATGTGCTAACTTTCTAAACACTTTGTTACATTTATGATAAAGTAGATAAAACACATTTGTGTCGGCCTTGGCTCATAGTTCTTGTCTTTAAATGAACTTTGTGTGTGTTTCAGGTACTGCACTCAACTGCAAAAGAAAACCACTCATGGCTCAAAGTGGTCTAACTCAAAAAATGATCTTTATTTTATATTTCCGGAAAAGGAGACTGAGCACACAGAGACACCAGCTCAAGTCTAAAGCAGCAGCAGCCAGCCTGATTATTATATACTTCCTCTACACGTCACGCACACTTTAAGTTCCGATCAAACACTCTGCTTAGTTTCACTTTCTGTCTGCACCTCATATGCTCTGCAAAAGCATGCAGTTTCCTGTCAGCCTGCAACCTAGTTCTTTGTCACCTCTGGGCCTGGTTTATAAAGGCCTATACATAAAACAATATAACCAGCAAATAAGCATTAAGAATATATATTAAATACATGCACTCTCAAAGACTGAATGAACCAGCATTGCAGCCATGGGTCACTGTGAGCATCACAGGGAAGGTTGAAGCCGCCCACTGCACCTGTATGGCCGGAGTCGCGGAGACCTGCAGCCATGTCACTGCTCTTCTGTTTAATGTAGAAGCAACAGTGCAGATCCGTGGCACAAGGACTGTTACAGATGAACCTGCATACTGGGTTTTGCTGGGTAATATGACCAAGATACAGCCAGAGGTTGGCCATAAGATAGACTTCTCCTCTTCAGCTGCCCAAAAAAAGGCTCTTGATCAAAACATAAACAGACCATCTGTAGTGACAGGTAAAAGGAGCCGTCCTCAAAGAACCCACAACCTGCTAGAGTTCACTGAAGCTGAAAAATCTGGTCGGCGGCCCACCTGGATTTGTGCTGTAAGCCTTGAAGCCGGCCACCACTTGTGGAGTTAGCTGCGGGTTGCATAACGGATGGAGGGAGGACCCAGGAACTGACGAATTCACCAGTGTTTTGGTCTTGCGTTAGTTTACACTAATAAAAACGATAAGTCCAACGGCAGCGCACGAGCTTTTAATGACGAATCAATGCCATAACATATAAGGGTCGCGGTGAGCAGGTGTTGGGTCGCCTCCATGGGCATTCTGCTTACCTCAGGTTTTGTCCGGCGGAAGGAATCACAAAAACAAGGGTTCTGACGCCCTAGAAGATATCATGCCTCCGGCGTCGAGGGAGACCAAGGGCTTGGTTCGCGACGTGAGTCGTGAGCGGCTGGTTGGGACAAGGAATGGTGGGGTGCTCCACCACGTTCCGAAAGCACCACTTTAATTTATTGTACTCTTTGGAAAAAAGCCCCGGGTCGGTTTATCCGTGAGCTCTGCAGCAAAATCGGGCTTTGGAATACGCAACATGAAGAATGATAACCCATGAGTAAGTGCGCTTTGGTCAGTCCCTTTGCGCCACGCTGCTGGCGACGTCGGCGTGTTACACCGACTCGGCCTTAGCAACCGGGACATCGGAGGGAGAAGACGAACACGGCTGGTGGATCCAAGAGTGGTGTCGGACACTAGCTTCATATCTCGGAAGTCCGAAGGGTCACCTCTTCAGAATTTCGACATGCGGGAAGACGGCGAAGATGTGGACCGGTGCCACTGACACCTGGCATTCGCGCAAGCTTGGAGGTAGTGCGGTGACGTCTGAGTTACGGTATAGGAGCCACGCTTTCCGCCGTTGTGGATAAAAAGCAGCGTGGGTGGAACAGGTACGGGACTAGAGCATAGTATGTGCACTTCCCTTGTACAACTGAGGCAGGCCGGAACTAAACATGGCTCGCCACCGTGCCAGATGCAGACTCTCGAGCCGACAGGCCTTAATTGAATAGCAGATTCTAATTAAATACGAAGGTACTTCTAGCGTCGTCACTTCAGTAATGAATGTTTTGTTTCTAATTTGCTGCTGACGCGCTCGAGAGTAGATTGAAATATAAAAACTAATAGGTATGGGAGAAGGGGATTGAACATAGTGTAGTAACTTAGTCGGGGCGAAGGTGGGGGCGGGGAAATTGAGTCTGGGACTGCAACAGATAGGTGGTCTGTGGAGTGGATAGGTGCGACGACGCAAAGGGCGCTAGACGGTGACCTGGACGCTGAGTCCCATGCCTAACCCTTGTGCTGGCGTTGAGTGAGCCGTCCGAGCTGGGGATATCGCGGAGACTCCAGAGGTGGCTTAGCGCCGACCCGGCGTAGTCCGCGCACAGGTAGAGCTTATCACAGAGCACATATTGGCACACGAGGTGCCCTGGTTGCTGAGTGTTGGACAGTGCGGAGCAGGACGGGTGAAAATGAGGGAGGGATATTGTCCGCTTATGGACACGTCGGGACAGGTGTTTTCGTGTTAGACTGGCGTCCATCCAGTCCTACTTTCCGGCCAAGTGTTGCGGATGAACCCCCGGTCTTGGTGGCAGGCAGTACAAAACTACGAACCAATAGACTGCCTTCAGGGTGACATTTACATGTTATACTACCGCGTATATGGCCGCTGTACGTGACGACCGGAAAGGAGAGGTATTAGCGCCGGCCGTATTGGTAGGGAGCACCGGGCTAGACAGCAGACCCTCGTCTACACTCTAACAGCAGCTGCGCTATCCGCCCGGGGCATCTGCTCGAGTGGCAGAACATGGAGTGGATGGTGAAGGCGGTCGTCTCGCATCGATGAAGCCCATATACTAGGTATACCATTATGTAGCGGCCTAGGTTCTGTTTATTTGAATGTATATCCATTGCCAGCGCAGCAGTGTGATCAAGGGACGCAGTAGACAATAGCGAGAGTAGCGGACGAGCGTGTGTAGTTGTCCCGCAGCCTGTGCGCATCCTCCGCTGTCTGGATTCTTGGGTACCAATTGGCGACGGACTGGGGTACTTCATGCTCCAGGGTAGTACCCCGGCTACTGTCTGCAGCACGCTCGGAGGGGTGCGATAAGCTGGGACGGTAAGGCGGGTGTTTGTAGCGTCGTAGAGCGATCGGCCTCATAGACTTGCAGGCTCGGGTGTACAGGCGGGGCAGTGCAGTAGCGCGACACAGACTCCGGGAGGTGGAGAGCCTGACTGGAGTGATACCCTCTCCACACTGGATCGAGCTCCGCGGGCGCCGGAAGGGTGGTAGCCGACGAACTATCTAAGAGAGCACTGCATTCTTCACCCTTGGAGCAGTCCTACGATGACAGGCACCTCAGAGCCCTGTGTCACTATATGTCCTCTATCTGCTCTAAGCAACCTTTGTGTAAACCATGTTGGAAAGACAACTTAAATTGGAAGATGCTCAAACATTAATAAGGGGGATTTCCAAGGACGATGGGTTCACACCAGGGACGTATGATGAGAAAGAGTTTGGTAGGTTTTTGTGTGGCTACTAAAAACATGCGGTGGAGGACATTTAACTGGAAATGTGTCATTAGGAATTTTATCACTCCACATGTGAGGAGTAAACTGCTTCAAATGCAACAGACCTGCTATGTCTTGGAATATGTCATTTACATATATCTCACCTGTACCCACATCTTCTATGTTAGCATTGGCCACTCGTTAGTATGCTGGTTACGTGAGCCTGACTTATAATTTCATGCATAATTTTATTGTTCACTTGGGTTTCACCTTTGCATAATCATGAGCATTACAGTTTTTCCTAATTGAGAGGCAATAGTATCGGCACCCAAGTTTTATGTATTGTGTCGCACGCAGTGGTTTCCGCAGAAGGTAGAACAACCGCTATTTTCGATACCGGCGGGTCATGCATGAGCTATTAATGGCTGTCTGTGTATACCAGCTATGTTACGGTCTTGCCACACTATGGTACGTAACATTAGAGAACAAATCTCTGGAGCGTGAATAACCACAAGATAAGCATTATATGGGCCTGCGAGAATTCCAACGATCATACCGAGCGGAATGGTGCGCTAAGGCCGGTGATGCGCACACACGTCTACATGACGACGAGGCGGAGCTGACCGAAACTACTTGTCTTTAGCCAGTAATTAAAACCGTGTCAATCAACACATACGATGAGCAGGCGACAAGATGACTGCGCCTCCATCGGTCATATCCTCGACTTATCGATGTCACAGCCTGTTTTGAGTCGCATGGTATGAGTTATAGCTAAAAACACTTCGGCCGCTGCATTGAGGTCCCGTTTGAGCGCATCGGCATGGACCTCATCGGGCCGTTTCACCGGAGTGCACGCGGCTACCGCTTTGTGTTAGTCCTGGTGGATTACGCAACGCGGTACCCGGAAGCAGTTCCGCTGCGCACCATCTCTGCAAAGAGTGTGGCGCAGGCACTGTTTCAGGTCATCTCCCGAGTCGGAATCCCGAAAGAGATACTGACTGACCAGGGCACGTCGTTTATGTCTCGTACACTGCGGGAACTGTACGAATTACTGGGCATTAAATCTATTCGGACCAGTGTCTACCACCCTCAGACTGACGGGCTGGTGGAGCGGCTGAATAAGACTTTAAAGTCCATGATTCGGAAGTTCATTAACGAGGATGAACGCAATTGGGATCACTGGCTAGACCCTCTGTTATTCGCAGTGCGGGAGGTGCCCCAGGCCTCCACGGGATTTTCTCCCTTTGAACTGCTGTTCGGCAGGAGGCCACGTGGGGTGCTCGACCTGATTAAAGAAAGCTGGGAGGACGGTCCGAGCCCCGCCAAAAATGAGATCCAGTACGTGTTGGACCTGAGAGCAAAACTCCACACTTTGGGGAGGTTGTCACGGGAGAATTTGCTCCAGGCTCAGCAGCGTCAGCAACGCCTGTATGACAGAGGGGCTAGGCTCAGGCAATTTTCACCGGGAGATAAAGTGCTTGTGTTACTCCCTACTTCCAGCTCGAAGTTGCTCGCCAAGTGGCAAGGACCCTTTGTGGTCACACGGCGAGTCGGGGACGTGGACTATGAGGTCGCTCGGTCGGACAGGGGAGGAGCCACGCAGATTTATCACCTCAATCTCCTCAAACTGTGGCGAGAGGTTGAAACCGCTTCTCTGGTGAGCTTGGTGAAGGAGAGAGATGAGTTGGGGCCTGAGGTGCCAAATTCTATCATTCCCACCTCCCTCCCTTGTGATGACCATCTCACACAGGCCCAGAGAGCGGATGTTGTCGCGTTGCAACAGCGTTTTGCGGACGTGTTCTCCCCCCTGCCCGGCCGGACGTCCCTCATCGAGCACCATTTCGTGACGCAGCCCGGCGTGACGGTGCGTTCACGGCCCTACAGGCTCCCAGAGCATAAGCGAAAAATCGTGCAGAGGGAATTGGCGGAAATGCTGAGGATGGGAGTAATAGAAGAGTCGCACAGCGCCTGGTGTAGCCCCATCGTTCTGGTGGCGAAGAAGGATGGGTCTATACGGTTCTGTGTCGACTATCGCAGGGTGAACGAAGTGTCACGCTTTGATGCCTACCCCATGCCTCGGGTCGACGAGCTCCTGGACCGGTTAGGCACGGCCCGCTTTTTCACGACACTGGACTTAACCAAGGGCTATTGGCAGATTCCCTTGTCTGCCGAGGCCAGGGAGAAAACGGCCTTCTCCACTCCGTACGGTTTGTACCAGTTCGTGACGCTTCCGTTTGGCCTGTTCGGGGCCCCGGCCACTTTCCAGCGTCTCATGGACCGGGTACTGCGTCCGCACGCAGCGTATGCTGCCGCCTACCTGGATGACGTGATCATCCACAGCGACACCTGGGCGGAGCATGTGCTGCGGGTGGCCGCGGTCCTGGAGTCCCTGAGGGGGGCGGGGCTCACGGCCAATCCGAAGAAGTGCGCGGTTGGACGGAGGGAGGTGCAGTATCTGGGGTACCACCTGGGGGGCGGGCAGGTGCGTCCACAGGTGGAGAAGACGGCGGCTATCGCATCCTGCCCGCGCCCCAGGACGAAAAAGGAGGTGAGACGGTTCTTGGGGTTGGCGGGTTACTATCGTCGCTTTGTGCCGGGGTTTGCGCAGCTAACCAGCCCCCTGACCGATCTCACTCGAAAGGGTGCCCCGGATCTGGTCCAGTGGACGGGGCCGTGCCAGGCGGCGTTTGTGCAGGTGAAAAAGGCTCTCTGTGGGGAGCCGCTGCTTCACACTCCTAACTTTTCCCTCCCTTTTGTTCTGCAGACTGACGCCTCGGACAGAGGGCTGGGAGCCGTTTTGTCCCAGCAGGTGAGGGGGGCCGACCGCCCTGTCCTATACATCAGCCGGAAGCTGGCAGAGCGCGAGCGCCGGTACAGCACCGTGGAGAAGGAGTGCCTGGCCATCCGGTGGGCGGTCGGCTCCCTGCGCTATTACCTCCTGGGACGCTCATTCACCCTCTGTTCGGACCACGCCCCGCTGCAGTGGCTCCACCGCATGAAGGATGCCAACGCCCGGATCACCCGGTGGTATCTGGCGTTGCAGCCCTTTAAGTTCAAGGTGATCCATAGGCCGGGGGCGCAGATGGCAGTGGCCGATTTCCTCTCTCGCTCGCGGGGGGGGGAGTTGGCTCGGCCTGACGGCTCCCCGGCCTCGAACGGGCGGTGGGGGTGTGTGGCGGAGGCGTGGCCCCGGGCGCGGCTGCAGGGGAGGAGTGGAGCGGAAGGCTCAACAGGGCGGCGCTGCGAGGCCGGTAAGAACAGCTGATGTTGTTTATGGACTGATGATGGTCTCCCTCCGCTGTGTTTATAGTGAGACGAGGAGGAGCGGCCAGAGAGAGATCAGCTGGGCTCGTGAGCTGTCAGACTGTGAGACTGAGTCAGCTGTCATAACAACAAGACTGAATAAATGTGGAAGTTGGCAGTACATACCTGTGTGTGCGTGTGTTTGTGCCTGGCGTATTCCACAGTATCGTTTAGGTTTTATCCGATACCGGTGCCAAATCGGTACTTTTGAAACGGTGCCGGTGCTCAAACGGTGCTCAAACCGGTGCTTAAAGAATGGAGAACACAAAATTGGTCCAAAAACCTCTCATGTTCAGCTGGTTTTTTGTAAAAAGATAACAATGTTAGCCTTTTCTGCAGCTATGGGGCATATATGGTATCACTCTTGGCTGGAAGCAGTGCTTAAACAATGGAAAAAACACAAACTTTGTCCAAAAACCTCTCATGTTTAACTGTTTTCCACTTTTTCTTTGGTCATTTTAGCCTTTTTGGCCAGGGTGAAGGGAGTATCTGCCATCAAACAAGAAGACAGCCGCATGTAGCTATGATGATGTTTGCTAGTTCACCTTACATGCATTAATGTAATAACGTGGTTAGCCTACTCAACGTAAATTAGCTACTCACGCAGAGAAGAACGGCTGCTGCCACCATCATCCGTCATCATTTCTGCTACACTGGCAGGGCTAGGGGCCAGGACTCTCCTCTTCGTGTTTTTGGGGGATGTTGCATAACAGGCAACCCACCCGCAGTAGATGTGCTCGGTGTGAGGTCTCGCAGCAAGCTATCAAATACGGCGCATTTCTGGGCTTTTAAAAAAAACGCTATGCGTCGCCAGGTGTTTCATCGGATTTGAGGTGTTACCTCCTTTGACAGTATCACAGTATCAGCTTAAAGCACTTGTTGCAGGCTGCTGAGTTTGCATATTTTGCTATGAAGTACAGCCAGACTTTTGACCGCTTCGCCTTGGACATTTTTAATCTGTAGCTCTGCTCTAAAGAACGTACGTACCTGGCCCCGCCTACTATCCTCGGAAACGTAAAATGATTGGCTAGAATCTAAAGTGTATCACAGCTCAGGAAAAAAAAGCACCGAAATAAAGCACCGAAATGTGCGCTGCTTTTCGGTCTGGTTACTACCGTTTATGTCAGAACCGGTGCCATCATGGCACCGGACACCGGTACCCATCACTAGTGACAATTATGAATCACTTAATATGATAAGGAGATTCTGCAGGTCATTAATCAATGTATAAAACTAAAATAAAATGTATTTTTTGTGACACAGGATACAAACATGGAAGCAAGATGTATAATTAGAATTATTTATAATAAATATGAATAAATCATTGCCATTTCTTTAACCATAAAGAAAAACTAAATCCTCCAGGACAATGTTACATCCATCTAACAGAGCCTCCACATGTTCTCACTGTAATTTCCCCCTCATGAGTGAATTTATGCTGCACTAATTTGAATGTTCGGGGGAAAATCAAATTCATTTCACTCGCAGTACTCAAGCTGACTTACCTTTGTTTGAATGACGACTTGTACACGCTGACTCCACAGACAAGGTAGGAAATATGTCAGGCTATGTCAATAGCGGTTGGTCTTCAGGGTTTCTACTCCACGGCCGTATTTCATACTGGTCCACATTTTCTGCAATTACTGCCGCTTCACCTCTGGACGCAATTGGTCTCTATATAGTTGATTGTCTTTCTTGTATTCGTCGTTCCAACACAGTGTGTTTGTTTTGATTGTGGACCCGGAAAATGGCGCCGCGCTCCCACAATGCATTGCGGCATCAACTCTAAAGGCCTATAGTTCCAAGAAGATGGAGAAAATGCCAGGTCAGCTGAGGAGATATATGGTCTCCTCAGCTGAACTGGAAAAAATGTTCATGCATTTGTGTCATCGCGTTTAGATTATTGTAATGCCCTGTTTACCAGCTTGGACAAATCATCTCTCTCGCCTCCAAGCCATACAAAATGCACCGGCAAGGCTACTAACATGTTCTAGCAATCAGAGATGTTTTTTCATTCATATAGCACTATTGTAATCATACTGACCACTATAAACTTCAAGCACTTTATCTACCTCTAATTCATAGTATATTTAAAATCACAAGTTAACCCAATAGGCATGGCTTTGCATAGTGAAAAGAAGCCAAAGCATCTGGAGCTAACCCAGTTTTCATCATGACCTTACAGGAGGAATATCCAGTCAGAGGAAAGATCTTGCTCTCGTCCAGTGACCTCCAGCTGGTGCTACAAGTGGAACATAATCAGTAAGTTCTCATGTCAGCCTAATCTCTCATATATACTTCTGTGCCTCTGATGTTATTGGTACACAGTGCTATCTGGTTGACTGCTGTCCATTTGTTGTCTAGCTGTTTTATTTATTTATTTTTTTGCTTGCCTTTGGTTTATTATCTGAATAATTAGACTGCTAAGATTTAACGGGCCTGTTAGTCGTCTTTTGCTCTGATGACTCTAGCTGTTGGTAAACACAAATGAATTCTACTCCAGAGGTAGAGCAATATCAGCTGTCACCAGTGCCTCTAGTTACCTTTACTTCTGGTTGCTTAGGTGTCTTTGACTTAGCCAGAAAGAAGTCAACCTGGAGCCAGCTACGGTTACCTTTTCTGGGCTCAACACACACTGCCTCACCAGCACTCACTTTTCCTTGTGACTTGCCGTCACTCCATCACACCCTCTGTCGGTCTGGTGCTGATGCACACTAAAATCAAATCAAATCAATTTATTTATATAGCACTTTTCACAGGATAAAAACCACAAAGTGCTTCACAGTAATATAAAACAGAAATACATAAAATACATTAATGATAAAACACACAGCACAAATCTAATTAAAAGTAGTTTTAATACCAAATAATAACTAGAAAAGGTTGCATTTCCTTCGAAAATGCAGTGTGAATGCTGTGTATAAATATTTTTATTTATCAAAAGTACTACAAAATAGCAGAAATACTATTATTTAGCAGAAATACTATAACATAGCAGAAGTACTATGATTTGTCACAAATACTATGCTTTAGCACAAATACTATAACATTGCAGAAATACTATGATTTGGCAGAAATACTATGTTTTAGGACAAATACTACCATTTAGCACAAATACTATAATTTAAAACAAATACAGTGGAACCCCAACTTAAAAAATTAATTTGTTCCAGAGGGTCTTTCGTAAGTCAAAATTTTCGTAAGTCGAAGCACCTTTTTCCATCGCCTTTTGAGTGAGGCAATGCTGGCTGAAGATGAGGTTCTTGGTGGAGGAGGAGTGGCAGTTTTCTATTTTATCTGTTTCGTAACATGGGCATTTTGCCATACCACGGGCAGAAATTTCCTACCCTCAAACAAATGTAATTCATGGCCAAACGGTAATAGGTAAGAAAAAAATTGTTGAATCATGAGCGTCAGAAGTGTCTGAAGATATATTGACACAAGCCTCATGTCTTAACTTCGTTTCGTTAAGGAGACATGACAATTAGAAAATGTGTCTCATTGGAGAATTCCAGCGCTGATTTTGAACAAAGTGTCCATTGGGTTTCTATGGAGAGTTTTTAGACTTTGTGTTGCTCTGAGGAGATTTTCCAAAAATCTCTAACTCCCACAACAACGATAGTGACATTTTTTGAAAGCCATAGAAAATACCTATGTTTTGATGTGAAATTGGTGAGGGTACAGAGAAAAAACATGGCTCAGCCCAGCAAGCACAGCTGGTGATCACACTGATAATGTTGTCCCATTCAGTAAAATGGGCGAAAAATGACATAAAAAGCTTAATATCTGAAAAAGTATAAAAGTTATGTGCACCAAAAGATATAGCACGCGTCACCTCTTTTTAGCACAATTTTCAGCCTCTTCTGCTCTTTTCAGCACAATTTTTAACTTTTTCACCTCTTTTCAGCACAATTTTCAGGTTCTGTCTGTCTACTCTGTCTTTGCTGCACAGCTGCCTCTTCTTCTCTCATTCTCTCCCCCTCTCTCGCCTGTTGCTACTAAAATCATGAAACTGATCAATGATCAGCTGATCGGCTTTTCTTTCTTGTTTATTTATCGCCCACTTTGCGCCAGAACGAGGAAACCAGCGGATGTCGCGCTAAACAACAGCAGCACGTTTAAGCTTGATCAGCTGTTGTTAGAATTTATTTGATATTAATTTCCAGTATCAGCTGATGTTGGCTGGAGCCACAGCTGTAAAAGCTGTTGAACATTATGTCAGTTTGGATATCCTAGTGAGAGGGAAACGTGAAGATGAAACCAGGAGATGTCCTTACTGAATCATCAGAGCTGAACAGGTGATGGAGAAACAGGTTTACCTTTTAGGTGACATGAATGAGTTGAAGTTATGAACAGTTTCTGAGAGACAAATAACACCAGGATCCTTTTCTGAGTAGCTGACAGCTGGTAACTGTGCAGGGGCGGGTCTAGCAAAATCTTTGCCAGGGGGCCAGGTAGGGCATTTACAGGGAAAGGGGGGCGCAAAGAAATAATTTTCTTTCTTATTCTCATTTAAAATATCTAGCTTTTATTAAATAGTTATGTGGATCTTTCAACCAAAGTTTTTATAATAATGTATGAAATTGACTGTAGATCATTGTCAGTCAAAGGTGCATGCAAAACATTTCTTTACTCCCAAGAAAATCAATCTGCTACACTGTTTACTTTAAACCACTCCAAATTTAAATGGTAAATTTTAAATTGTGCCTTGTCTTTATCCCCTGAGACTTAAGCATATATTTATTTTCTTACTTCTTTTATTTCTATTTATTAGTTTTTTGGCTGTGATGTACCTGCAGCCTCGTCCTCTCGACTCTCTGTATGCTGCGCTGCATATAGGAGAGATCAAAATACAGTTTACTATGATTAGCGCCTTGACCTGAATTTTAAAAATATTTGGCAAAAAGCACTATGCTGCTAAAAAATGAAAAATAAATATTTGCGAAATATCTTGATAAATATTTATTTTACGTGTTTGATGTGTGTGGCGGGGCGTGGTCTGCAGTGCTGCTGCAGGGGAGGCGGACCCACCTGAGTGGCATCTGCAATCACGCCTCTCCGGCTTAGAGACTCTCGGCTGTTGTGTTGGTGTGTCGGACTGTGTGGGTCAATAAAGAAATGCTACAAAGCGTGTTCATGCAAACATCGCCATGTCTGCCGTGGTACAATGGGACTTCTGCTCCTGAACCTCTGCGCACAGCATCTGCAAATCGGGGCTGTACGAAGTCACTTCATCTTTACGCAAGACTGTAAGCTGTCATCTGTGAGGAGCGAGCGGTGTTTGTTTTTACCGTAGTTCATGGTGGAGAATAGCTGCTCTGCTGCGTTTTGCTCCCTGTAGCCGTATGAATGGCAAACTGCACTCATTGGCAGCGGCATAGGCACACTTAAAATTTCTTCTGAAATTTTCGCTCTCTAGTTTTTTTTGTCACATTTCCAACCCACTTCCTTTATCCAGTCTTGTGACCGGCAAAAGTGACCCAAAATGGGCACTCTGGCAGAGTTACTGTTTGTTTGTGTGTGTTTTTAAGTTGTTTTAAACCTTGTGATCCACAAAAAGTAAGAGTAAAACAAGAACTGACTGCATTGCAGTCAGGGCAGGAGCAGGAGCTTCGCTCATGCGCGATTTATTTGCAGTTTGGACCTATAGGTGTGACCATCTCCTGCTCTGACAGCAGCTCGGGTGGACTTCTGCGTGAGGACTATCTGCCGCCTGTGAGCCCCACTGACAGTAAGAGCGATACTTGCTTCCACGTCAAAAAGTCGTCATAAGTCTCCCGATAAGACCAGAAAAAGTCGCCAGATTTGTCGCTAGTCGCTTTTTAGAAAAAAGTTACTAAGGGGGTTTGAAAACTCGCTAAATATAGCGACAAAGTCGCTAAGTTGTCAACACTGCGGCACTGTCTGCCAACTTGCAGTTTTAAGGCTCAGGGAAACGAGCCCGCCAGCACTCTGTAGCGGCTGCGACCACTGGCGATAAGGAAAGGCTGCTTTTCATAGAGGACTCGCTTGGGGAGATGTCTTCTGGTTGACTCCAGCTCCCAGAAGAGCCTCGGGAACTCTCGTGTGATCTTTGGATACCTTCAGAATGGATTATTATTTAATCTGAAAAATTCTGTTAGATTTCCCACTTACCACTACAGGGAGCCCAAGTACCACCAGTGGTACGTGTATCACAGTTTGAGAACCAATGATCTAGACATAAAATTAAAGCCTTGCTAACTCTAAAATCTGAACACAGAAAATAATTGGCTAGGACCTGTAGATCTGCCTTAGCAGTGATTGAATGTAATGGATAAGTGGCTGGATATCTGGCTGCTTTACACATTACAATCAATAAATACAGAGAACCAGATTTTAAAGGGGGAAGAGGACCCATACAGTCTATTCTAGATGAGAGTACTCTTAAAAAAGGTGTTTGACTTCACTGAGAATGCTTGTCTAGCACAGCACAGAAAGTCTAAGATCAGGCAACAAAGGAGGTTTGAATTACAGGGTGGGCCATTTATATGAATACACCCTAATAACATGGGAATGGTTGGTGATATTAAAGTCCTGTTTGTGGCACATTAGTATATGTGAGGGGGCAAACTCGTCAAGATGGGTGGTGACCATGGTGGCCATTTAGAAGTCGGCCATCTTGGTTACAACTTTTGTTTTTTAAATAGGAAGAGGGCCATGTGACACATCAAACTTATTGGTAATGTCACAAGAAAAACAATGGTGTGCTTGGTTTCAA